AAAATTCAAAATAAATAGATTTCTTGTAGAGACAGGGGTCTAACTGTGTTGGCCAGGCTTGTCTTGAACTCCTGGCCTCAGGTGATCCTCCTACCTCGGCCTCCCAAAGTGTTGGCATTACAGGCGCCACGCTGGGCTCCTTGTATTAAATATAATAAAAGCAAACAGACAGTAAAGCAAACCCAGCTGCCCTGCTGGCCGTGCCCAGCTAATTTTTTGCATTTTCAGTGGAGACGGGGTTTCACTGTGTTAGCCAGATGCTCTCGATCTCCTGATCTTGTGATCCGCCGGCCTCGACCTCCCAAAGTGCTGGGATTACAGGGGTGAGCCACCGTGCCTGGCGAAAGACAGGGTCTTGCTCTGTCACCCAGGCTGGAGGGCAGTGGTGCAGTCAAAGCTCACTGCAGCCTCCACCTCCCAGGCTCATGCGATCCTCCTGAGTAGCTGGGAGTACAGGTGTGTGCCACCATGCCCAGCTAATTAAAAAAATTATTTAGCTGGGTGCAGTTTCGCTCACGCCTGCAATCCCAGCACTTTGAGAGGCTGAGGCAGGTGGATCACCTGAGGTCAGAAGTTTGAGACCAGCCTGGCCAACGTGGTGAAACCCTGTCTCTACTAAAAATACAAAAAATGAACCGGGTATGGTGGCACATACCTATAATGCCAGCTGCTCCAGAGGCTGAGGTAGGAGAATGGCTTGAACCTGGGAGGTGGAGGTTGCAGTGAGCAGAGATCACTCCATTGCACTCCAGCCAGGGCAAGAAGCATGAAACTCCATCTCAAAAAAAAAAAAAAAAAAAAAAAAGTTTGTTGAGACAGGGTCTTGCTTTGTTGCTTAGGCTTTTCTCAAAACTGCTGGGCTTGGGCCGGGTGCGGTGGCTCACGCTTGTAATCCCAGCACGTCGGGAGGCCGAGGCGGGCGGATCACATGGTCATGAGATCGAGACCATCCTGGTCAACATGGTGAAACCCCGTCTCTACTAAAAATACAAAAAATTAGCTGGGCATGGTGGCGCGTGCCTGTAATCCCACCTACTCAGGAGGCTGAGGCAGGAGAATTGCCTGAACCCGGGAGGCAGAGGTTGCGGTGAGCCAAGATCGCCCCATTGCACTCCAGCCTGGGTAATTCCGTCTCCAAAAAAAAAAACTGCTGGGCTCACGCACTCCTCCTGCCACGGCCTCCTGAAGTTCTGGGATCACAGGAGTGAGCCACCCTGTCCAGCCCCCACCCCATCTGTCTGTCTCCAACTCCCAGCATGGCAACACTGTGCCAGGCAGCAGAAAGGCCTGGCACTCAGAGAGGGCAGGGAGGTTCTCCGGCAAAGCCCAGGGCTCCTAGGTACGTTGCTAGAGGGCGATATCGGAATGAGAGGCCAACCAGGTCATGCCGGGCCTCAGGCCTCAAATACCAGCCACAGGGGAGGAGTCTGTACTGCAGGGACTCAGGGACAGAGCCTGTGACTGGAAGCCAGGGCGGGGAGGGCCAGCCAGTCCAACAGTGAGTGCTTCCTCCTGAAGCTCCGTTCCACCGGCAGGGGGTCAGACATAAGGTGTTTGTTTTTGTTTGTTTGTTTGTTTTGAGACAGCGTCTCGCTCTGTCACTCTGTCGCTCAGGCTGGAGTGCAGGGGTGTGATCTCGGCTCACCGCAACCTCCGCCTCCCAGGTTCAAGTGATTCTCCTGCCTCAGCCTCTTGAGTAGCCGGGATTATAGGCATGCGCCACCACGCCTGGCTAATTTTGTATTTTGAATAGAGATGAGGGTTTCACGATAGTGGCCAGGCTGGTCACGAACTCCTGACCTCAGGCGATCTGCCCACCTCAGCCTCCCAAAGTGTTGGGATTACGGGCATGAGCCACGGCGTCCGGCCTACGGTGCCACTAATAATTGCAGCCAGCTGGGCACCGTGTTGCACACCTGTAGACCCAACACTTTTGGAGGCTGAGGCAGGAGGATTGCTTGAGGCCAGGAGTTCAAGGCCAGCCGAGGCAACAAAACCAGATCCCATCTCTACAGATATAAAAATTAGCTGGGTGTGGTGGCGCTCACCTGTGGTCTCAGCTACTCTCGAGGCTGAGGCGGGAGGACCGCTTGAGCCTGTGAGTTCTGGGCTGTAGTAAGCTTTGCTGATCCAGGGTTCACATCAATGTAGTGACCTCCCTGGACTGGCAGGACCAGCAGGTTGCCTAAGGAGGGATGAACCCATCCACATCAGAAACAAAGCAGGGCAAAACTCCTAAGCTGATCTCATCTGGGATCACACCTGTGAATAGCCACTGCACCCAGCTGGGCAACACAGGGAGACCCTGTGGCTAAAAGAAAAAGATTGAGGCAGGGCGAAGTAGCTCATGCCTGTAATTCCAGTACTTTGGGAGGCCGAGGCAAGAGGATCACCAGAGTCAGGAGTTCAAGACCAGCCTGGCCAACATGGTGAAACCCCATCTCTACTAAAAATACAAAAATTAGCCGAGGCCAGGCGCGGTGGCTCAAGCCTGTAATCCCAGCTCTTTGGGAGGCCGAGGCAGGTGGATCATGAGGTCAAGAGATCCAGACCATCCTGGTCAACAAGGTGAAACCCCATCTCTACTAAAAATACAAAAAATTAGTTGGGCATGGTGGCGCGTGCCTGTAATCCCAGCTACTCGGGAGGCTGAGGCAGGAGAATTGCCTGAACCCAGGAGGCGGAAGCTGGGGTGAGCCAAGATCATGCCATTGCACTCCAGCCTGGGTAACAAGAGCGAAACTCCGTCTCAAAAAATAAAGAAAGAAAGAAAGAAAGAAAGAAAAAGAAAAAAAATTAGCCAGGTGTGGTGGCACACATCTCTGATCCCAGCTACTAGGGAGGTTGAGGCAGGAGAATCGCTTGAACCCAGGAGGTGGAGGTTGCAGTAAGCTGAGATTGCACCACCTCACTCCAGCCTGGGCAATACAGCAAGACTCTGTCTCAAAAAAAAAAATTAATTAAAAAGAGATAGAGAAAGAGAGAGAGAAGAAGAAAGGAAAGAAGAAAAGACAGTCGGGCGGGGCAGCCCATGCCAGCACTTTGGGAGGCCAAGGAGGGCAGATTACCTGACATTGGGAGTTCAAGACTGGCCTGACCAACATGGAGAACTCCTGTCTCTTTTAAAAATACAAAATTAGCCGAGCGTGGTGGTGCATGCTTGTAGTCCCAGCTACTCAGGAGGCTGAGGCAGAAGAATTGCTACGACCCAGGAGCCAGAGGTTGCGGTGAGCTGAGATCACGCCATTGCATTCCAGCCTGGGTGACAAGAGCTAAACTCTTGTCTCAAAAAAAGAAAAAGAATGAAAAAGAAAAGGGGAGGGGAAGAGGAGGGAGGGGAAGGGAAGGAAAGGGAAAGAGAAGAAAGGGAGGGAAGGAGGGAGGGAGGCAGAAAGAGAAAATAATGAAAAAGAAAAATGGAAAAAATTCCCAGCATGGGTGCACAAAAGAGAAGTCCAGGACCCCAGGAGGGGAGGTGGGGCTGGGCGCAGACTGGGGTCCGGAGAGATTTTGCTCCAGGCAGGGGGATCCTGATGTGCCTGCCTGGAAGATGTGGGCAGAGAAGCCACCAGAAGTGAAGGGCCCAATAGTGGGTGGCTGTGGCTGGGGGACTAGATGAACAGCTGAGGTGGACCCAGGGTGGGTGAGGCTGGGGGAGGGGACAGAGAAGAAGCCGTGCTAGGCAAAGGGGCAGGCGGTCCTCCTCGGGCCCAGACAGTCCCGCCTTGGGACTAGTTTGCACAGCCAGCCACGGACAGGTCTGGAAGACTGGGGCAGGTAGATGATTGATCACAGAAAAATTCCACAGGAGCAAGGAAGGCACTGAAGGGCGGCTGGAGGAAGAGCCGCTGGGAAAGGGAGGCTTTAGAAGTGGACAGCGCCGGGTTTCGGGGCCAGGCACCCCAGGAGAGGGTGGGGGTGCACATGGAGGGTTCCGGCTGGTGTGAAACTGCCCATGCCAGGGAACCACCACTGAGGTACAGAGGTCTCTGGCTGGGGATACAGAGACTGGATGTGGCCTTGGGCAGGGCGGAGGAGGTGGCCTGACCCCAAAGCCAGGAACCGGACAGAGGGGAGCTAGGGAAGACTAGGGGAGAGGGACCCCACGCCCTGAGGTGTGCACGGTTTCGGAGTTGTCCTGGCACAGAGGCTGAAGCCGGGGCAGGGGCCTGATCCTAAAGCCCATCCTAATAGCAAGGGGTACTTGGGTACTGGAACCCCAGGCCTGAGGCGTGCACCGTGGGGCGGAGGGGGGGGTGGTCCCTCGCACAAAGGTGGTGGGTGGGGCGCGAGCCTGACTTCGAAGTCCAGTGGGATCGCGAGGGGGACTTGGCGAGACGGACCCCACGCCTTGGTGCAGGGAGGTGGAGTTCGCCGGCATACGGAAGCGGGCGTGGGGCAGCGCACCTGGCTTCGGGGTGACCTCGATCGCGAAGGGGAACTGGGGAGCAGAACCTCGGGCCCGGGGGTGCGCGAGGCAGGGACTCTCAGGCTCGGGGCGGGAAGCACACACCTGCCGCCGCGCCCGCACGTGCGGATGCGCCCGGGTTCCCGCCCGAGCGCCAGAGGGGGCGGGGCCTGGCCCTCGTGCCCGCCCCTGGCCCCGCCCCACGCGCCTGCGCCCTGCGGGCCGCCCATTGTTGGGCCGCGGCGTGACGTCGCGGGGGCGGGGTCGGGGCGGGGCCGCGGGAGGCGGCGGGAGGGAAGGAGCGTCCCGCGCCGCCGCCGCCGCCGCCGCCTCGGCCGCCGAGGAGCCGCCACCGCCGCCGCCGCCGCCGCCGAGCCTCAGTCAGAGTCGCCGCCGCCCGGCCCGGCCCCGGCCAGGCCCCGAGCAGCCCCGCGCCGCCGCCGCCCGGCCCGCCCGGCCTCCCGCGCCCGCCCCCGCCGCTGGATGCAGGCGGCCGGCGGCCCAGCTCTCAGAGGCGGAGGGCGGCGCGGGCGGCGGCGGCGGCGCGGGCGGCAGGAGCGCGGGCCCCAGCGCTAGCGCCCGCCATGCCCGGCTCGCCCGACGGCGGCGGGGGCGGGGGCGGCGGCGCGGGCGGCGGGGGCGCGGGGGCGGCGGGGGAGGACCCCGGCCCCGGCCCCGCGCCCGCGCCCCCGCCCGAGGGCGCCCAGGAGGCCGCGCCCGCGCCCCGGCCGCCGCCCGAGCCCGACGACGCGGCCGCCGCTCTGCGCCTGTCCCTGGACCAGCTGTCGGCGCTCGGGCTGGGGGGCGCGGGCGACACGGACGAAGAGGGGGCGGCCGGGGACGGCGCGGCCGCCATGGGGGGCGCGGACGGCGGGACAGCCCCGGAGCCCGCGCCCCCCGACGGGCCCGAGGCCGGCGCGCCCGCGCCCCCGGCCCCCGCTGCGGCCGTGTCGGTGGCCCCCGCGCCGCTGCAGCTGCTGGACCCGGGCTCGAGTCCCCCCCCGCCGCCGCCGCCGCCGCCGCCGCCGCCCCGGCCGTCGGCCCCCGACGTGTTCGCGGGCTTCGCGCCCCACCCCGCGGCCCTGGGCCCCCCGACGCTGCTGGCCGAGCAGATGAGCGTGATCGGCAGCCGCAAGAAGAGCGTCAACATGACGGAGTGCGTCCCGGTGCCCAGCTCCGAGCACGTCGCCGAGATCGTGGGTCGCCAGGGTGAGTGGCCCGGGCCCGGGGCCGTGTCCGGGGGGATGTCCCCGGCCGGGGAGGGGGTCGCCCGAGCCCAGCGCAGCCCGCGCCGGACGCCCCGCACCGGACACACCCCGCGTGGGCTCCGGCCTCGGCGGCTGGCTGTGCGCCTTTGTCCTGCAGCGGCCGCGGGAGAAAGTTGGGCGCAGCCCGCGCTCCTCCCCTGCCCGCTCCAGTCCCGCCGCCGCCTTTGTTTGGGCCGCCTCCGGCCCGGAAAGGCTCCCGGGAGCCGCGCCGCACCCCAGGCCTTCGGCCGCCCTCAGGGGCACCCCAGAGAGGGGCCGGTGGGCGCCCCACACCCAGCACAGGCGCGGGGCGGGGCGGGGCACTCGCAGGTCTAGGGGTGGCCAAGGGGGGCCGCCGGCGGGGCCGGGAGGGAAGGCTGACGGTACACAGCGCGCGGGTCTCAGCCCCCAGCCTGGGGCCCTGACCGGGGTGGGGACGGGCCGGGCGGGAGAGGGTCCCTGCCCACTCTCCATCCCCGAGTCGGGGATCTGGGGGCGGGCCTGTGGAAGGACCAGCTGTCAAAGCCACTTCTGGGGTGCAGCCCCGCGGCCCTCCTGGGCAGGCGGGTGGGCGGCAGGCCCCGGGCGTGGGGTCCGGCGGTGGCATCGTCGGAGCTTCCCTCTGGCCGCCCCATTGTTCTCTTTGTTAGAGAGCTAGGCTGAGATTTGCAGGGTGACATCAGGCCGGCCGCTGCTCATTGGCCCCCGAGCTGCGGGGCGGGCAGGCGGGTGGGTGGTGGGCAGTGCCTGGCCCAGCACACACCCACCACCCCTTTGGCCGCCCACCTGCCCCCCTCAACTTTCTCCTGCCTTGCCGCCACCCCTCCCTGCTTCTGGATCCCTGCTGACCGCCAGCAATCAGCCAGGTTCTAGAACTTGGGGTGGGGCCTTGGCGTGGCCGGAGGTGGGGCCACAGGACACTTGGGCTGGTGGTCCCCGCCTCCCCCCGACCATGGCCCTCAGGAACCCGGGCTAGAGAAAGGTGTGGGGGCTGGGATTGCAAGGTCACCTATAGCCCTGGATGCAGGCGAGGACCACCAGGGTGCCCTCCTCTCCACACCTTCCCTTGTCCCAGGTGGGTGGGGCAGCACGGCCTCCTGTCTTTTGGTCGGTCATTTGTCCGTCTCGGGGGGTCCGGCTCAGGTGGGGATGCACACAGGGCGGGGCATGGTCCTAGACCCGGGAAGCACACTCTGGAGTGGTGGATGGGGAGGGACGCTCTCAGCCTTGCCGCTGCCCTCAGTGGGACCTCAGGCTGGAGGGCTTCCCTACCACTGTGATTCTGCCTCCCCATTGAGGCCCTCCACCCGGCCTCCATGTCCCGTAACCGCTCCAAGCCCTGGAACAGGACGGAGTGCCCAGGGGCCTGTGGAGACAGATGTCCAAGCCCAGGCCTGGGGCCCGAGTGCCCTAGGCAGCAGGCTGAGCCGCCAGGTGGTGGAGGGTGTGGCTGTGTTGTGTGAACGCACCTGTCCTGGCACCTCAGAGAGAGGCCGGACTCAGGCTGAGGGCGTGTGGGACCTGTGGCCTCAGGGTGGGAATTCTCTAGGGGCAGGTCCCTGGGAGATGAGCCCCCACCTCCGCATGAGAGTTCCACACCTGCTTGCTGGGCTCTTGCTGGTGGTGGTCAGCACAGCGGGCACTGAACAATGTGGGGGTGGGTTTAGATGGGCCCTGACTGCTGGCCGTGCCCAGGTGACACCTCCTCTCTGGTGTGCGTTCATCACCTCTGTTGGGGTTGAGGATTCTGGGGCAAGACGCTGGTTTTATTTCTGTATTCGTTTTTATTTTTAAAACTTCTTGTAGAGACACATCTCACTCTGTTGCCCAGGCTGGTCTTGAACTCCCGGCCTCAAACGATTCTTCCACTTCAGCCTCCCTGTGTGCTGGGGTTACAGGTGTGGGCCACCATGCTTGGACCCAAGTTGCTGTTTTTTTTTTTTTTTTTGAGACAGAGTTTCGCTCTTATTACCCAGGCTGGAGTGCAATGGCGCGATCCCGGCTCACCACAACCTCCGCCTCCTGGGCTCAGGCAATTCTCCTGCCTCAGCCTCCTGAGTAGCTGGGATTACAGGCACGCGCCACCATGCCCAGCTAATTTTTTGTATTTTTAATAGAGACGGGGTTTCACCTTGTTGACCAGGATGGTCTCGATCTCTTGACCTTGTGATCCACCCGCCTCGGCCTCCCACAGTGCTAGGATTACAGGCTTGAGCCACCGCGCCTGGACTTAAGTTGCTGGTTTTAATCCCAGCTCTGGGTCCCACACAGCAGCCACCCCGTAAGTGGAGTGCAGGGTGCCAGGGATGTGACCGTGAATGCCGGGGCAGGGTGGCAGCTTCAGTGGTCCTTGCATCTCCCATACTCTAGAACCGTCTGTGACTCCCAGCTTCTCTCAGCTACCCCGTTCTCAAGCATACCTTTCAGTGCCCTTTGTGTCCCAAGCCTGCCCCTTCATTGCCCTTCTTCTCCACCCTGGGAGTCTCTGAACTTCTCATTATTCTCTGTCAAACCCAAGCTCACAGGCTGCTCCTTCCCTGGAGGGCAGGAAGGTGCATCTGCCCGGCCTCCCCACCTAGACCGGAGTCACAGGCCTGGCACCAGCCCTGTCCCCGGTAGCCATGTGCTGCTCTCTGAGCCTCAGTTCTCTGGATCCTTGAGTGGGTCCAAGTGCTTTCTGGGCAGACCGTGGTCATTCACACCCATCCACCTGCTGGAGGCTCCAGTTCACTCATTTGGTGGATCTGTGTTGATGCCTGCTGTGTGCTGAGCCCGCACCAGACTGGACCTGCCCCATCTCACTGAGGCCCGTCATGTGCCTTCGGGGAGGTCCTGCAGCTCCCAGGCCACAGATGGGGGGGCAGAGGCTGTGGGAGGTGACGGGTAGGTCAGACCTGAGGGGCTGAGGCAGGAGCTTGGACATCTGTCTCCTTGAGCCCAGCCATTGAAACCAGCCTGGCCAACATGGCAAAACCCCGTCTCTATAAAAAAAATATATGACACTTACCAGGCTTGGTGGCAGGCTCCTGTGGCCCCAGCTACTGAGGAGGCTGAGGCAGGAGGATTACTTGAGCCTGGGAGGTTGAGGCCGCAGTGAGCTATGATGACATCACTGCATCCAGCGTGGGCCACAGAGCAGGACCCTGTCTCCACAACCAAACAAACTCATAGGCTGGGATTCCAACCCTCGTTTCTCTGGTGGGTCAGTGGAGAACATTTCAGATTCCAAAGCTCAAGGGCTGGGGGTGGGGCGGGGCAGCCCGGCTTTGGAGACAGGCAGCGTGGAGATCCCAAGGACGGAGGACAGGCGTCTCCCTCCAGCCGGCCAGCAAAGGCCCTCTAGGGGACCTCGGGCCCTGCTCCTGCTGAGACCCCAACATGTACCCTCCTTTCTCGCCCCACTTGCCGGGACCCTGGGTGGGTCTGTGTTCCATGGATGTCCCCCCACTTGCCGGGACCCTGGGTGGGTCTGTGCTCTGTGGACGCCCCCCCCTCCCCACTTGCTGGGACCCTGGGTGGGTCTGTGCTCTGTGGACGCCCCCCCCCCACACTTGCCGGGACCCTGGGTGGGTCTGTGCTCTGTGGACGTCCCCCCCAACTTGCCGGGACCCTGGGTGGGTCTGTGCTTCGTGGACATCCCCCGCCACTTGCCAGGACCCTGGGTGGGTCTGTGCTCTGTGGACGTCCCCCCCCACTTGCCGGGACCCTGAGTGGGTCTGTGCTCTGTGGACGTCCCCCCCCACTTGCCGGGACCCTGAGTGGGTATGTGCTCTGTGGACGTCCCCCCACTCCCCACTTGCCGGGACTCTGGGTGGGTCTGTGCTCTGTGGATGTTCCCCCTACACGTTCCCAGGGACCGGAACCAGGCAGGTGACTGGTCATGGTTGAATCTTCAGTAGTTTGCAGGGGCCTGCACACAGTAGGTGTTCAGTAATGAACAAATGAATGAATGATATGGAAGGCAGGGCTTGGACTGGAAGCTGCGCAGGGCTCCCTCTCCCTGCTGTTGGCACAGGCCAAGGATTGTGGCTTTAGACTGTCCCCCGCAGCTGGGGGACACCCCCGATCACTGTCTCCTCTCCTGGCCCAGGCCCCAGAGGCTCCTCCCCTTCTTCCATCCCTGCAGGCCTCGGGCGTTTCTCTGGCGGCCAGGGACTGTGCCGGTGCTGGTGGGACCATGCCCGGCTTTTCCTGTGCCTACACTGCAGCGGGCTAGAAAGATCGGGTCGGCTGGTCACCTCCACACGCAGACCAGACAGTCCTTACCTTAGCAAGAGTAGATGTTCCCTTCGTTCCCTGAGAGGTTTGTTCATTTCTTTTTGAGACATGGTCTTGCTCTTGTCACCCAGGCTGGAGGGCAGTGGCTCAGGCTCGGCTCACTGCAGCCTCTGCCTCCTGGGTTCAAGCGATTTTCCCACCTCAGCCTCCCAAGTAGCTGGGACTGCAGGCTCGCGCCACCACGCCCGGGTCATTTTTGTATTTTTAGTAGAGAGAGGTTTTCTCCATGTTGGCCAATCTGGTCTCAAACTCCTGACCTCAGTGATCTGCCTGCCTCGGCCTCCCAAAATGCTGGGATCATAGGCGTGAGCCACCGTGCCTGGGATTTGTTTTGTTCTGTTTTGTTTTGTGTTTGAGTCCAGATCGGGTTCTGTTGCTGCTCTGTCTGGAGTGTGGTATGCGGTCAGCTCACTGCAGCCTCTACCTCCGTGGCTCAGCTCATCCTCCCACCTCCACCTCCCGACTAGCAGGGACCACAGTTGTGTGACCATGCCTGGCTAATTTTTTAAAAGAATTATTTACTTATATACATATTTTATTTATGTATTTATTTATTTATTTTGTAAAGACGGGGTTTCACCATGTTGGTCAGGCTGGTCCTGAACTCCCATCCTCAGGTGATCCGCCCGCCTTGGCTTCCAAAGTGCTTGGATTACAGGCGTGAGCCACCGCGCTTGGCTGCCC